GAGTTTTATTTTATTTCTGTCCAGTTTGAGTGTATTTTATGAAAGGTAAAATTACTTGTTTTGTCAATGAAGTCTGGCTGGCCGTAGCGCCAACTGTTCCTATTTGAGATGCTGGTGCTCTTGTGCAACATTCAGTGGAAAGTAGATTTCACATATATAACCTTTAAACAGATATGGCTGTATGTAGGTTGTCATTCACTGGCTGCAGACTCTTAGTCTTGCTACTATGGTAACTTTAATGTTTATTGCTTCTTTTTCTTGTCTTTTTGACATGTTTTAAGACGCAACGTGAATTTGTAGTTAACGAAAATGTCAATTTTGGTAAAATGTACAGTAGAAACACTGAAAATGAACGACTCTTGCACTCCCTTGGTACCCCAGGGGGGCAGGACACCCACTTTGGGAACCACTGCACTAGCAGTAAATAAGATAATTCATCTTTTTGTAGTTTGGGTGAATTGACATTTTGAAAAAAAGGCTGAATTTTATTATACTTTTCATTCTGTGAGCTGTCTTTTCTTTCCCCTTTTCGGTACTACCTCAAGCTGTAAATGACTACAGAGCTCAGTAAGGGATGAGAAAACATTTTTATTCCCTCAAATGTCTTAATTAATACCCTGAAGTTAACAGCGGACTTGACGGATTTAATACACTTTCACTTTATCTTTCACTTCCCTTTAAACATATTTTATAGATCCTGCAGATGCCAGTTCATGAAAATTCTGCTCTGAGGTTTCAGAGCTTTTCACACATAAAGCCGGATGCAAAAGAGAGAAGGGAAGGGGCACATTAAGTCATTTGAGGGTAATTATTAATTCAAGAGAATCAATTAAATAATCTGAACATACAAATTACTAAATTGAAGGAGTGTATTGAGTGCATACATTTCTAATTTGAGGCAGTCTTTTATCCTCCCTCGAACACCTCCTGGGCTCCGTACAAAACACCATCAACATTAATGCTTTCTTTGTTTTTCAGATACCAATATGGTATAAAAAAGAACATTCATCTGGTTTGTATGGACTATCAGGGTGGCTGTTGAATTTTGACATTTGGATATAATACCATAGCTCATAAAGCACAACCGTCTTTTCCTCAAAGTGCTGCTGATGTGTTGGTGTACAAAAATCTCCATCTCTTGAACATCCCGTCATTTTGAAGCATTGGATGTGATAACAAAAAACTCATTGTTTTTTTTTTCTGCCCCTTTGGACTTGAGTGTGAACCGTCCTCTCAAATTCAATTTTCCAGACGGAATTCAGAGGGACAAACAGACTTCCAAAGGAAAGGAATTACCCTCTGGGCATTGTTTGACATTATATGACTTTTGTTTGATTTCTCCTGTGGAAAGAAATGCCATCGTTTCACTCAGAGTCCTGGAGAAACCTTCAACACTCCCAGCGGTCCCAGATTCAGTTCATGTCAGATCTGCAGCAGTCCGATTCCCTGCCTTTTTGAATCTGTGCAAATGAAATCCGGGCCCCGTGCCAAGGTGCAACAACTGGGGACATTAGATCAAAGCACTCATAAGAAAACTGCATTAATCAAGAATTTTTCAGGCCACCTCGAGCCTTGGGGACTCCTTTTGAATCATTAACATCTTTCGCCCTCCTTTTGGAATGTTTTTCAGACTCGTCTGAGCCGGTTTTGATCCGCAGTCCGTCGTGTGGGGAAAGTCGCCACGAGCAGCCCCGCCTACCCGAAGAAATGAGTCAGAGATCTTGTTTATTTGTCGATCCTCAGAGTGTCTGTCTGTGTGGCTCTGCTCTTTGAGCAAAGCATCTACAATGCAGCGGTCGTGACTCAGACAGGCGATGGACGGCGTCCTCTCAGCAGCAGGATAACCACAACTGAAGGGTCGTAATGAGGAGTGATGGGAACAAAAAGCTCTGAAGTCTCTTTTGTGTCTTTTCGTCCCATCAATGCCCTCATTTTGTTATTTCTCACAAGCCCTGCAGACACGGAGAACTTTGCTTTTTAGGGCTGTAGGAGCCATGTTGGAATGGCACCACTTCCTCTTTCAGTCTCAGTAGTATTAGTAGTATTTTCCTGCCTCTGCTACCGGTGATGTCGCTGTGTTCGGAAGGAACAGCGGTTTGGGCGGGACTTGGGGTTTCAGCGACGCTGTTCTCCGGACGATTGCCGCCCGCTGCACATGTGGCCCTTCGCTGTAACTGTGCTGCCGTGTCAGGCAAGTGCTAGCGATCGATGGACGCTGGTTCTCGTCGTTGGTGTTCCCATTAGCTGCCCCGCTCGCGCCTGGGGGGCCGTTGCTGCTGCTGTTGGTGTTCATCCTGGCTAAAAAGTGTGCGTGCCCCCGTTGGTTGAAGCTGTGGTTGCGTGGCACAGCGCCGCCCCCACTGCCCATCTTGATGAGGGATTGGCGTTGAGAGTGGTGGCGTGTCACTGAGACGCTGCTTCCTCCGGGTCTCTCTGGAATCACCTGCTGCTGGAGCGGAGTTGAGGAGGATGAAGAGGAGGAAGAAGGGATGGAGGTGGAGGAGGTGGGGTTGTTGGAAGATGAGGAGGAGGAAGAAGAGGAAGTGGCAGATGATGAGGTGGAGTTTTGAGTCGGTGCGTCCAGGCGCTTGGGGAGGCCATCCCTCGGCAACGTGGAGGTGCTGTAATACGAAGCGGATTCTGTTTCAGGGATCTGCTGCTGGTGATGGTGACTGCTACTGCCGCTACTGTTATTGTTGTGGTGGTTGCTATGGTGATGGCTGTGGTTGTAGTGGTGGGTGCGGGTCTGGCCGTGGTGATTATGATGATGGTGGTGATGATGATTATGTCCTCCAGAAGAAGATGAGGAGGGCCCGGGGAACAGAGAGGATGAGGAGGTGGAGGTGAGAACCTTGATGCCTCCGGTCCCCGACGCGCTGACCTCATGGATGTGCTTGAGCAGCTCATCCAATGCCGACACGTCCACCACTGTCTGGGGAAGGGACTGCTGGGAGTGGTGGTGATGTGGGACTCCCCCGCCACCTCCACCTCCTCCTGCTCCTGCTGCTCGCTCATCATTGGAGATCTTCCTCTCCTCTGGGAGGTGCAGTGAAGTCGAAGAAGCACCTGCTCCATGAGCTGCTCCGTTGCTGAAACTGTTGCTGTGGTGATGAGAGAAGGGAAACACCTGTTGGGTCAAAGAGTTCCCAACAACGGCCATGAAACCCAGACTGGATCCAGAGCAGCTGGGCCCAGACTGGGGGTTGTTGTCCTTGGCGTTGTTGCAGTTCTGGTTCTTCTCGTACTGATGGTGCCGCAGGGCCTTCATGTTCTTAATGGGAAGCTCCGGAGTGGAGTCAGGCGTGGGCAGGCCGGACAGCTCTCCATCACCCTGAGACAGGGACTAAACAAAGGTTAGACCGATGAGTTTTCAAACATTTTCAAGTCAAAGAGGGCATCATTTAAAAAAAACGTTTGTGCTTGGTCTACTGATCTTTTACATAAAAGCCACAACCTCTGGCTGGGAATAATACCCAGTTCCACTTAATGTACATCTACAATCACCTTTCAGCTCTGTGATTCGTCACTATGGCATTAGAGCTGCAACTAACAACTTCATTAATCAATTAAGTAATTGTTACTGCACATTGCAGTTTTGCAGAGCTAACCATTACAAGAAGGGTCAAACTCCTTAAGCCCCTATTTCCAGTCCAGTACAGTTAGCATATGCAACAGTGCACCACTAAGAGACTTCCTGCGTTACGAGAAAAGATCTGTGTTGCAACAGTCCTCTGCTACTTTGGTCCCGGTGACAACGTCAAACTCCGTTCAAGAGCTGCACCTTGTCTCTCTGATTAGGGGGCAGCACTAGTTTTCACAGACTAAAGCGTCTTGTAGACTTGCCACTG